ATTTTTTAATAGTAATTGCGCAGTCATGCAATGCTGTACCCAGATGAAATTTACTGCATTTTTTTTTCACACAGAGATTTCTTTTGGTGGTGTTTGATCACCACTGGGCTTTTTGCGGTTTGTGATATAAATGAAAAAAAAGGACCCAATATTTAGGGAAAAAAAACTATATTTTCTACTTTCTGCTATAAAATATATATATAATAAAAAAGTATTTCATCATAAATTTAGGCCAAAATATATACTGCTACATGTCTTTGGTTAAAAAACAAAAAAACCCCAATAAGTGTATATTGATTGGTTTGCTTGAAACTTATAGTGTTTACAAACTATGGTATAGATACTGGAATTTTTATTTATTTTTTTAATACTAGTCATGGCGGCGATCAGTGACTTATATAGTGGGACTGTGATGGTGCAGCGGGCAATCTGACACTAACTGATGCTGGGGGTGAACTGAGTAACTGCCACTGATATCTCCAGGGACACTTTTCAGCTAGAATAAAACCGGCACATTGCTGCTGTCTGTAGAGAGCCCTGTGTTGTTTGCCAACACAGCGCTCTCTTCTGTCATTCGCTCAGCCAATCAGCAAATCACAGCCATAAACCATTGGCCGGGACCCACTGATTGGCTTGTGCTGCAGCAAATAACAGCACAGTCTTTTGCGTGGGCCAGGAAGAAAGCCATAATACACAGGTATGTGATTGTGCCTATAAGAGCTGATCTGCCACAGTAAATGTACTAAGACAGGTTGGCAAGCGATTATAGAAGTTTCTTGCAGCAGGGATTGGATACGTTTCACCGAGGTAAAGCTGAGGGGTAACCAATTGGAAAGCTTTGATCATATTGCCTCAGTGACATTGATGCTACAAAGTAAAAAATGGTTTCTCCGTGTAAAATATCAAGTCTACATACACCACCTAAGGACACTAGCAAAAACGAAGGCTTTCTGGGAGCAGGAGGGGTTATATGGGATGTGCTAACTACTCTGACAGTGTTCTCGCCTGAAGGAGACAGCATATAACCTATGGTCAAGATGAGTCCTGTACTGTATGAATAACATCCTTTAAAGTGTTACTAAACCCACAACAGTAAAATCAGTCTGTATATGCAGTAAAGTATGCTGGTTATACTAACTGTTGAATCTAAGGGGTTAATCCTCTGCATTGTGTAAAAAGGAGGTTTGATCCTGACTTCTCTGATCCTCCCCTTTTTTCAGCATCTACCTTTTATCTCCTGATAAGACATATCGTGTGGAGTCACTCTGCACATGCTCAATTTGGTGTGTATTGCTAGAGAGGATTTTTTTTTTCTTGGGAGAGTACATGTGATCAGCACAGGGCCAATCAGCACTGTCCAGCCAGAGGTCAAGAGTTCTACATCCTCCTAGAGAAAACTCCTCCTACAAGCTTTAACCAGTGCTTGATTGGACACTGATAGAAGTCACAAGAGTGCTCTAAGTGCTGATGAGAAAAGGTTTTTAGCAGTTTATATGTATTAAAATAATTCCACTCCCATGTTCTGTGTACTGTGGGAGACCAGATATAGTGAATGCAGAGTCCTGGGTTTAGTAACACTTTAAATCTCTGACAGGGAAAAAATACAAGTAAATACCATCACGCAAAGCTATTCCTGAGAAGTAGAGCTGCCACACTGTAACAGACTAAGATTGGAGATTCTGAGTGCCTATTACTGACTTGTTCTCATTTAGGTATGGACTATAAATGGCAAAAGACCTCCGTTCAGAAACACTTCATGCTCCACTTATTACCCTAGACTACAAAAAAAAACATTATATTAACCTGAGATTTTTATCACCATTCATTTCCACATATAACAGAGCAAAAACAGACTTCTAGTTACTGTGGACAATATAAAAATGTTTATCTCTTCATTAAGTTGATGATTTTTCCCTAATGAACCAATTCACTAATGTTGTTTTATTCTCCAATACTTCAGAAGAACAGTTTGAGTAAAATTTGAAAAAACTCAGCAGATGTTGCTGTGGAAACCAGGCCAGTTGTGCAGACTGGTCCTCTGCCAAGAGCAGATTGTTGGTATAAGACTGGTACAGAGCTGCCAGCCATCTCAGGAATGGAAGTCCGACAAATTGTGAAATGGAAACGCTGTCTAATATTACTCAGGTCTACACACAGAATGATAGAAGAATTCAAGTATTCCCATAACTAGAAGGTAATCTACGCAAGCAGAAATAGAAAATGCTGAATGATTGTTATCCATAAACAGGTCCCAGTTCTGCAACACAGTTCTAAATACAGCTGATATAAAGGTTTAGTCAATGAAATGACCTTCACTTCATCTTTATGACTAATCAGATATAGAGCAAAGCGTGGCAATTAAACAGTTTTTGATAACTTTTTATTTTGTCCTACTACACCTGTGAAGGCTATTGACAAATCCGTAATGTTTCAATTTTGTTGGTGGCCATGGATGGGTGAAGTTTTGTTCTAAGTTATATTTGGTAACAAAACAATCCTCCCCTCTATACACAGATACAGTAATAGACCTCGTTCACATGAGCGTTCTACAGCACATACCTGTGTGAGGGCCATGTTTGCCTGCATAGGGATACACCAGTGTTCTCTGCATCCCCGTGCAGGCAGTCCCATTCATGTCAACTGTGACGCAGGATGGAAATGATGGTCTCAATTAGAAATCTGTGCAGGTACATGGCCCAAAACACGCACGGTCTGTGTTCAAGGCTGTACACATGTACCCCATAGCTGGCAAATTGTGACCATCAGCGGTGTCTGTGAAGATGCTGCGTCCCAGATCACAAATGGCACATTTTCAAAGTCTCTAAAGCAGAACTCCAAGTAAACATTAGGAATAAGCTTTGGGGTTTGTGTTAAATGCGAGTTTGTCCACCGAAGTACCAAACAAGCTGGCAAAATCTGGCCAGTTCACCTCTGTGAATACCCAGCTGCTATTTGTAAACCAATTTGGCCAATGACGGCAACCAGAAACCCTGACCAGTTTCATTAACCACTTGCCCACTGGCCACTTATACCCCCTTCTTTACCAGGCCAGTTTTCAGCTTTCAGCAATGTCGTACTTTGATTGACAATTGCGCGGTCATGCAAGATTGTACGCATATGAAATGTTTAGAATTTTTTCTCACAAATAGAGCTTTCTTTTGGAGGTATTTAATCGCCGCTGGGCACTTTACTTTTTGCGCTATAAACAAAAAAATGCAAAAAATTTGAAAAATTTTTTTTCTTTGTTTCCATTATAACATTTTTCAAGCAGGTAATTTTTCTCCTTCACTGATGTGCGTTGATGAGGCAGCACTGAAGGGCACTGATAGGTGGCACTGATAGGCAGCACTGAAGGGCACTGATAGGCAGTACTAATGAGGTGGCATGGATAGGCGGCACTGATAGGCAACACTAATGAGGTGTCACGAATAGGCAGCACTGATGGGTACTGATAGACAGCACTGATAGGTGGCACTGACTGGCATCACTGCTGGGCACTGACTGGTGGCACTGACTGGCAGCACTGGTGGGTGGCACTGGTGGGCACAGGTGGGTGGCACTGCTGGGCACAGGCAGGTGGCACTTCTGGGCACAGGCGGGTGCACTGCTGGGCACAGGTGGGCGGAACTGGTGGGTGGCACTGCTGGGCACCGATCATCGGGGCACTGATCATCAGTGCCCCGATGATCGGTGCCGATTTCTGCTCTGACAACTGCCGGTTCTCGGCAGTACTTTCCTCGAGCTCTGAGAGCATGAGGAAAGTGCAGCCGAGAACCGGCAATTGCATTTCCCGGTGATCAAAGTGTCATTGGACATGGCTGATCACGTAGTAAAAGGACGCTGTGATTGGCCTTTTACCACATCACGTGACACAGCGATCACGGAGATTGCCGGGTGTGCGCGTTCTGGAAGGACACCATATGACGCCAAGAGGGTGTGGGGATTTATGGGGGAAGATTTATAGGAATCTGGAAGCCACATGTAGAGTAAAAGCACCCCCCCCCCCCCTCGATAACTACCACCTTCCCCAAGGTAATAAGTGCAAGTACCCCTTACCCATTTCCACAAAAAGGTCAATATTAAAAACACACACTGCCAAAGTGTCACTCAAGCCATCCAGCTATGTAACTCAAACATCAATCACAATGACAACCCCCCTGCCCAGTGATGTTGCCCTGCCACACTACCGCTGCTAAATGACAATCAGATTCCCAAGTGCGGTTTGTAAACAAATGGGATATTTGGTGACATCAATGACCAAATATGGTCAATGCAGCTGTATTCACCAGATACAGAAACAGCACATATGATTCACTACTTCTTCCCCTCTTCTAAAGGCGAGGAGGGAAGAGTCTGCCAGTTCATTCAAAGGTGTGATAGCAAAAACAGTTGCTTCTATTACCTGACCCTCACCAGAGTTGTCTAAGTCAGTGTTCTCCAAACTGCGGCCCTTTTCGTGCCTTTATCCAGCCCTTGGAGCACTATTCCTCACACTGACACCAACGATGAGGCACTAATCCTTCCACGAATACCACTGATGGGGCATTGTTTACTCCCACTGAGCACAGTCTGATCCCCCTAACGTCGGACGGATGGAAAAATAGCCCTTGGTTCTGATGGCCCAAGGCATCAGATCAGGGCTGGAATAGGAGGGGAATTTTCCTGATGTTGGAGAGATTTTTTTTTTCCCCACTTTCTTTTGACCATTATTACCTGGAACAGAAAGTTACTGGGGAATCCAAAATGTATGGTTGCCACAGAAACAGCAAGAGGGACAATCTAATGAGGATATCTGTTCAATAGGGCAAAGTCTAAGAGGGCATTTTCATCACCCTTTAACCGCCTCCCGAAAGCCATACAAGGTAATGACGGGCGCATGGCGGTTATCTCGTTCTGGGAGGACATCATATGACGTCCTCCCACTCTAACCACGTATGTTCGGCTCCGGGAGCGCACAGTGCGGTGATCGGTGGTGCACTGTGTCCCTCGGACACAGCGGATCACCGATCAACGGAAAGAGCCGAAGATGTCGGCTTGGTCATGTGATCAGCTGTGTCCAATCACAGCTAATCGCATGCAAATAGGGAAATGCCGGTTATCAGCATTTCTCTCCTCACGAGCTGTCACACTGACAGCTCGAGAGGAGAGAAGAGCCGGTAATTGGCATTCCTCAGAGGGGACATGTACACTGATCATCAGGGCACTGATGATCAGTGTGCCCTGATGATCAGTGCAGCCCCATCAGTGCCAGCTGTCACTGTCCATCAATGCCAGCTGTCAGTGATCATCAATGCCACCTGCCAGTGCCCATCAGTGCCTCATCAATGCCACATATCAGTGCCTACCAGTGCACATCAATGCCACATATCAGTGCCCATCTGAGCTGCCTTTCAGTGTCATCTATCAGTGCCAGTCAGTGCCACCTATCAATGCCAGTCAGTGCCACCTAACAGTGCCAGTCAGTGTCGCCTATCAGTACCATATATGAGTGCTGCCTTTCAGTGCACATCAGTGATGCCTGTCAATGCCCATCAGTGCCACCTACTAGTGCCTCCTCATCAATGCAGCCTATCAGTGCCCATCATTGCAGCCTCATTAGAGCACATCAGTGAAGGAGAAAAATCACTTATTTACAAAATTTTATAACAAAAAAACTAAGAAAAAAAAGGTTTTTTTTTCAAATTTTTCAGTTGTTTTTGGTTTGTTTAGCAAAAATTAAAAAACCCAGAGGTGATTAAATACCACCAATAGAAAGCTATATCTGTCTCAAAAAAAGGATAAATATTTCATATGGGTACAGTGTTGCATGACCGCGCAATTGTCATTCAAAGTACGACAGCGCTGAAAGCTGAAAACTGGCCTGGGCAGGAAGGGGGTATAAGTGCCCTGTAGGCAAGTGGTTAAAGCAGCGGTTGCCAACCTTTCGGATCTCACGGACCACTAAATTCATAATTTTAAATCCCGTGGACCACTAATAAGAATTTTTTAAAAAGATAAATACATTTGTAAAATAATGATCAGAGAACTTCCATGTTATTAATATGAAATGCACCTATGTAATATAACATTATAAATGCTTATTTAATGATAACACAATCTTTAAAGGTTAATTGTAACAAAATTATTAAAGTTATTTTAATTATTACAAAATAATTGAAGCTTACTTAAGTATTACACATTTTTAGTGTGATATTTGCTCCTGCTTGTTTGAAATAAGTTTATGGATTTTTGGCTGCAATGATGTTACTGCAACACAAAGAGCCGTTGTTCTTTCAAGCAGAGACCTGTACCGACAATACTGAAGCATACAACTCAGCAACGGTTGCCTCATACAACTTAAAACTACCCTGACGTCACACTGCCCCTCTCATTTCCCCCTCTCTAGTACAAATCGTGAATTTAGTGCAAAATAAAGGCGAAAATATCATTCAGAATGTAAGAATTTCTTAGAATATTATTTGTTTTATTAATAAAACATAAAAAATGCAAATAATGTTCAGATTTTTCTGTGGACCACGGACCATTGGTTGGCGCCCGCTGCTTTAAAGAGCGTTCCTCTTACTTTCCAATGAGTCTCTGGGACAAAAGTAAAGGCAAAACAGAACAGAGAAAAAAAACTGAAGGGTTTTAACTATATGCAAAAAAAAAAAATTAAGATAACTGAAAACTTAAGCATTGCATAATAAATGTGGGTTTCCATGTGTTCCGTTTTTTAAAATTATATTATTTGCTAATCCTGCAATAAAAGGATAGTAGAGAACATATCGGCACTGTAAACACATTGCTGTGTTAAAAGCACGCTGACCTATTGAGTTGGATGCACATGAGTGGTGTTACTAAATGCAGTCTGTTTCCTGTGCATGTATTATTTCAGCATTTGCAACCTGTGCATCCGCCTTCAATAAAAATGACTTTACGAGCTTGCAGGTCAAGCATATCTAGCGAAGACTTATAATGTGGAAGTCAGTAACAGGGCGGGTCAGGCTCATTACTGGATTGAACTACTGAACTATTTTTCCTCCAGTCCAAAACATTCAGCTCTAAATTGTGATCACAGCTCCTACATCAAAGAAAAACAAGTGCTTGTGATCACAATGTGAAAAACCCATGCAGTGGTCTAAGTTTTATCTTATCCTGGAGGCTGGAGTGGAGAACTTTTGAGTTCTAAGAGCACATAAGAATGATCAGACTGACTGTGTAACTTGAAGGCACAACAGGTCAGACCAGTTTTAAAAAAAAACAATTCAGAGATGCAGCCTTCTTAAACACAAATGAAACACCAATTTTATTAACCGCCAGGCCTGGAAGAAAAGCCTCAGGCACATCTGTAGTAATAGAGAAATCCAATTATTTAGGTGAAGTGTATTTGATATTTTCAATTCCCGAGTAGTAATAAAGCTTGTCTTGGTATCTGTAGGTCAATTGCTACAGCAGCTGACGGCAAACCATTATTCAGCTCTCTTTGTGGTTTTCAAGAAACAAGACTGCTTAATTGGAGCCAGATCTGTTTTTAGCCAAACCCATAAGACCTCTTTCACTTTGACAGTCAGATCGGGCTCGCCTGTCAGTTTCTCAGATAGACCCAATCGGACCACCCATAAACCTCTATGGACCGGCAGGGTGTCAGCAGAACGCTGGCACCGCCGGCATCCAATCCAATCCTGTACGCCCAAAACAGACGGATAAGGATCCGTTCCCCATCCATATGGTGGATCACATCAGATGACAGTTGAGTGTAAACAGACAGGCGTTTCCATCTGACCGCCCCATAGGAAAATGACAGTGGAGTGGACACAAACCTGTTATCCGCTTGTTCAGTTCAGTGTGGATCAGCGAAGAGATCCCCCGCTGAGAAAAGGTACCCACTTGCAGGTCTGCCCCATCTGAAAGGGGCCTAATACACCTATACAGACTATAGGCCAAGCTTCAATTTACCTAGTCCTAATGGCCGGCCTTAGGTGGCCAAGTGGCCAAGCACAAAGTTAAAATGTATTCTCTTTTACCATTCCTCACAACTAAATACTCTTACAAGCAGTTCCCTATTAGAAAACATTTCACATTCTCACTGTCTGCTTTGTAATATTTTCTAGAGTACCAGACATTTTAAAACTTAAAAAAACAGTAAAGAGTCTACAAAGGATAATCGCCACTGCAGGACAAGAACAGAAACACAAAGTGAACCGAACCTTGGTCAATGTTTCACGTTACATGCTTGTAGGATATATAAGAAGTAAGCTACGCTTGTAGTCCTTCAATCTCAAAGAGATCACATTTCTCCTGACATTGCATTTTTCTTCCTTTCTCCCCGAGTGGCCAACATCCAGAGTCATCTGCTTCCTGGGTGATATTCCTTTACCTAGATCTCAGAATCAGTCCTTTTAATATAGAGAAACTGTTCAAAAACGCTCAAGTCGCAGGGACCCCCTGCAGCTCAAAGTACATTAGTGTGAAGAGTAAGTTGACATAAATAAAGAGTAAGGAATATGGTGTATTTTGTATATTTTGACAGTCAGGTAAACTCTATACAACAAAGTAATTTTCAGTCGCTGTCGTCATCATAAAGAGAATTATATAATGTTTGATTAAAATCACTCAAGTCACTTTATTGTTTTTTATATAGATTTATATATATATATATATATATATATATATATATATATATATATATATATTTATTTGTTCACTTTGCCATTACGTCATCATGTTTTATTGATCACCTATAGTGCTATAAGGCGCCCGCACTAATATCACTTGATTATCTTTCAGCATTGCATATTTGTTTATATATTTGTTTAGAGGGTAAGAGGTTTCACCTTTATGCAAGTGGCTTGATACCTAGCGTTCACTTGTGTCCTTTTATTACAATGGAGAAATGCCTCCTCTACAGTGATGATCAGCAGAAAAGCACCCCTAACACTGGTAGCAAGTATGAAAAGCCATGTTGTGTTACATTGATGGTCAGTGGCAAGAAAGCTCCTTACACTGGTGGTCAGTGGGAAGAATGCCCCTTACATTAATGGTCAGTAGAAAGAATACCCCATTCATTGGTTGTCTGTAAGACTGCTCCTTACACTGGTGGCTAGTGGGAACAAAGCTCCATAAAATGATAGTCAATGGGAAGAACGACCCTTAAATTCATGCTCATTGGTAAGAATGTCTCCTTACAGATAGCTAAAAAGTCATTTGGTGTCAAAGATTACTTCGCTGAGAGTCAGAAATTGCTTATTGTTCAAGTAACTCCTAGAAACCTCTACAGCAGGGGTGTCAAACACTGGTGGCCCTCCACCTGTTGCAAAACTCCTATCATACCTCTGCCTTTGGGAGTCATGCTTGTAACTGTCAGCCTTGCAATGCCTCATGGGACTTGCAGTTTGGCAACAGCTGGTGGACCGCCAGTTTGACACCCCTGATCTAGAGGAACCCCAGCGTTTTGACATAACCTAGTTGAAATGGATGATGTAAATTGTTGCACTTTTGCTGTAGACTTTATGTTGTGGGTTGAATGTCACACAGATAAGGCCCCACTACTGTCCCCACTTTGTATCTTACTACATAATCACAATGTTACAGATGGATTAATTAGGGCGAGGCAATAAAACAAGAAACTGCTTCTTACTGCAGACCAATTACATGATTTTCCTAGGTTGCACATCTCAACCTAAGCATTTGCTTGCCTAGAACTCAAGGACTGCTTTTTCATTATAAAGAGATTAAAGGAGTTTTTAAAAAAAAAAAATTATACAGCTGTTGAAGAAATGGAGGTGAGAAAAGGGATATCATACTGTATATTACAGGGTAGGTAAAAAAAATAGAGAAAATATGATTCTGTATAACTGTCCTTTCTGCTGAGACTTTCAAACTTAAAGCGCAAAATCCAACTTCTGCTTCTACTCCACAATCTGCTGCCAATGGAAATTTAGCATCGCATAGAGTGTAGCATCCTTACATGTCTCTAAATTTAACTTCCCAATTACCCAATCCTGCTAGATGTACAAATTTGAGCATTGTTAGTCATAACCTTCTACAGCAGTGGGTCCCAACCTTGGTCCTCAAGTACCCCAAACACGTTATGTTTTCAGGATTGACTTCACCTTGTACAAGTGCTTTTACTCATTGTAAATAGTATTTATGACAGCTGTTTTATCTATGGAAAATTCCCAAGACATGTCGTGTTGGGGATACTTGAGGAATGAGATTGGGAAACATTGTTCCAGAGGTTAACGGATGACCTTCTTGGGATGTCAAAAGCTTTTTACGTTGCCCCAAAGACTTTTTTCAGCAGTCAGAACAACATTAAAAAGTTATGGTAGAGTGACAATTTATAGGAACGTTGACATATATACAGTTTAGGATTTTAAGAAACAGAGCATCTAACGGTTTACATCTAAATAACATTTTTGCGAATGCTAGAAACAATCATAAGGAAAACAATGACAGACACCCGTTACAAGATGGTGTACTTGTATTTCCTGGAAAACTTCCGAGACGGGGATTGAACATGCAAGTAGGAAATTA